CACTCACCGAGGCGCTGCCACCCCGCATGCTGCTGCCGCCGCCGCCACGTCAGCGCGCGCGCCGCCCTCCCGCTTCCGGCCGCCCGCCCGCTTCCGGCCACCCCCTCACTGTAGTCGCCGGCCCCGGGTGCCGGTTGGTGTTGCCCGCCGTCCCCGGGCCCGACCGGGCCACCCAGCACGGGGCGGCCGTGCGAGCCCTCGGTGCGTACCCGACCGGCGGCGGCGGAGCGACAGCCAGGTCCTGCGCGCGTCATGGCGGCGTGCTGTGGGGCCACCCCTGCACTGCCCCCGCCGCGCCCCGGAAGGACAAGTGGGTGCTGGGAAGATGGCGGCGGCGATCGCGGCGGCGGCGCCCCCGGTGTGCGTGTTGGTGCTGGGCATGGCCGGCTCTGGGAAAACCACCTTCGTGCAGGTGAGTGGAGGCTGGGGGAGAGCTGCCGGTTTACCTGAGCGCTGCCCCGTGTGCGGCGGGGCCTGATGCCTCTTTGTGTCCCCTTAGCGACTGGCGGCCCATCTGCACGGGCAGTGCTGCCCGCCGTACGTGATCAACCTGGACCCCGCCGTGCACGACCTGCCCTTCCCCGCCAACATCGGTGAGTCCGGCCTGGCCCGGGCCCCGGCCCTGGCGGGTGGTGGTGGTGTGAGGGAGGGGATGGCCCGGGCCAGAGGTGCGGTGTGTCTCTGGAGTCCGCCAGAATAAAGCCGGGATGTTTTACCGTGAATAAGTAAACCCGCTTTTGGTTCAGTGCTTTTCCGAAGTTTCGTGGAAGCAGGGGGAAGGGGGCGGGCTATGTGAAGTATTTGGCTAGGTTGTTTATATTCTCTTGAATGAAAGAGATTACAAGTCCTAATACAAGAAGGGCTTTAATTTATTATTTTTATTTATTTACTTATTATTTAACTCCATTGTCCTACCAATTTTTAACATGCCAATTTATTAGGACCGAAGGCATCCTTCCGTTGTGTTTGTACATTTTTTTACATCATCTGGTGTTATTTGATGTGTTTGGCTTCCTGTTGTTTTTTTTCTCCTTTGTCAGCAGTGAACATATTAGCAGATTTGATCTGGTTCACTACATTCAGAACAGCGCTAGCCGTATGTGCTACCAAATAATTTCTGTAAAGCACTTAAAAAGACATGGATTTTAGAGAAAATACCTTTATTTAACGATAAAACAGACCTTATGCTTAGCTGCTCCAAAGCACTTGCCAGTCATTAGGTTTGCGAGGGTCCTGTCTGTTAAGCTTTCTGAAGTTTGTCAGCCTGCCTCTCCAGAGGATAAGAAAGACGGTGTGGTTACCAAAGTTGTTTTGTTGATGTCAGATGAATAATTTGAGTGTCTGTTTCAGTGCTGGACCTCTAATAATACAGTTAGGTACGTATACTTTGTTAACTGACATTTATCAGCTGAGAATAAAATTAAACTGAAAAAGTTATTGCTAAATATCTAAATTGGTGGCGTTTCATGTGATTTATATTCAGTTTCATGTGTATGTTGAGAGCATAGCAAATCTGTTAGATTTTACTTATTCTGCCTGGGAGATTTTTCCTGTTTGACAGGAGATCTGTTCCTAGATCTACTACTTGAGACAAAAGGAGACTTGCTAGATCTGCAAATTGATGAAGAAAGATATTTTAAATGTGATGTCCTAAAACTATTTATACATCTTCCTCCTCTAGATATCAGGGACACTGTGAAGTACAAAGAAGTCATGAAACAGTATCCTTTTTTTTTTTGTCTAAATAATGATATTTGAAATCTCAGATTTTGTGAAAATAGTCTGTCACTTCTGCATGCTACGTTGAAGGGGATAGGGGGTGTTGGGGATTGCAGTAATGCAGAATGTTACATGAAGATCAGAAGTTTTTGACTTTGTAGTTTTTGGATGTGAGGTTAAAAACGTATGTTCTACAAGATCTGATACTTGGGAGGTAATTTTCTTCTGTGCTAACAATGATTCTAGCTAATAGTACATTTTTACAAATAATAAGTGCTCTGCCCACATTTTTTTTTTTTCTTTTTTTTTTTCCCTGTTGTTCTGTCAAAGAGCTTGTGTCTTTCTTTGTGGAAGCCAGCAACCTTTCCCCCATATTTTAACAAGTCTAATTTTTTATTTGTTATAAACAAACATGCAAATTCATATTTGCCCATAGTAGGTGGAGAAAACTATTTCAATGTTGTTTGGCCATAATTAAAGCACTGTTGTCTTTCTGAATCTTGAAGACATTGGACTGTTTGCTCTTGATGCAAAGTAGTTTGATGACTGTAGTTCGGTGACAGTACCCTAAAATGACTGCACTTCCAGAGGGGTATGGAGGTCTTTTGTCTCCTAAGTAACAGGTTGTACAAATGGAGGTAGAATTGTAGAATCATAATACACAGATTCAGAGTCATAATATACAGATGATAATATACAGTGTTTAGGTTTGTCTTGCTTGGGTCACTCTTAAATTTAATATTTTAGAGAATAATAAAGATGGTGGGGGATAGAATTCTTGAGTTTTGGCTGTTGTATGTTACCAGCAAAACATCTGAGTACAATTTCAGTTCGATATGTAGGTGCATTATTTGCTTTACTATGTCTGTTAGCTGTTACTGGAGTTTAAATATCTTATTAAATAATGCTTAAGGAGGGTGTCTGCCTTGTGTTTGGGTATTGAGAGTAGTGGCCCCAGAAGACAGTATGTATTGTTCTTTGAATATAATTAATATACAGATCTGTACGCGTGAAAAAGGATTTTGAAATCTTCATCTTTGAGCTGACACTTAGAGTATCTTTACAACATTCTTTCCCATTGTCATTTAAATTCTAAAATTTATTTGTGCAAGAAATCTTTTAATTATCTTTTGAAGTATACATTCTTCAAATTAAGTGACTTGTTAAATTCTGAGTTACCGGCTGTGTTGTTAATTATTCAGGAAAGACAAAGATGGCTTTGATGTATACACGTACATATATTTTTTTCTTTGTCCAGAATAGTAGTGCTTGAAGAATGGCAAGGGGAAGCCATGGCATAGCCCCTTTTCCTTCTGTCGCTCACGGGTTTTTGGGCAAGAGAGAGGCCACTTTGTATTTATTATTGACTGCATCAGTTAGAAGACTTAATTGTGTGTTAGGGGTATTGTCTTTTGCTGCAAGGTATCCAATGTGCATTGTACATGGCCAACTATTACCTGAATTGGAAAAGAAGCCTTCTGAAGTCTGCATAATCATCTGCTTTCCTAAATGAAGCACCTAGATATGGGCTGGGCCCAAATGGTGGAATAGTGACCTCTCTCAATCTCTTTGCTACAAGATTTGATCAGGTATGAGGTTGTTCCTATGTGACACTGTGCTACAAATACTGTGCTGGGAGACTGGGATTTTTAAGTATTTGGGGTCTCAAAGAGCATTGTGTTTGGTTAGCCTACTAATATTTCTTTAGAGTTATTGTCCATACAGAACCATGTATTTTACAAAGCAGCCGAAGCTTATTAGCTTTCATTTGAGAGATTTCAGGTTTTTTGGCTTTTTAAAAGTAAAATTTAGAAGCCACGTATACAGTACATTTTTTAGTCTTCGTACATAACTGTTCTGTTGCACTATGTTTGCTAGAAAATCTTTCATATGAGTGCTCTGATTTTGAAGTAGGGTAGCTCACTTCTGGAAATGGTTTAAATTTTCCTAGGGTTATCAAATAACTGACTGCTCTTTTAAATCATAATGCTAAAGCAGCATTGGGGTGGGAACTTATGCAAGATACTGAGAGAGCGCACAATATCTTAATAAAAAGATAGGGAACAACTGCATTTGTTATACGATTTTTTTAGCCAGGTACTGGACCACAGACAAAATCAACGTTGTCTTTGACCTGTGCAGTGTCTGAGCGTTTTCCACCCTTCTCAGGCGGGGCGTTTTCGCCCGTTGAAAAGCTTAGAGACTTTAACCTTCTTTTAATACATACATGCAGCTCTGCAAGTTAATGTAATTTCTGTTATGAAATGACTATGGAAGTTTCCTGTTGTGAGCCTAAATACAAAGTATCCTTCTTCTTTTGCAATTAGGTGATGAAGTTTATTGAAAAAAGACAAAATGCATCCAAGTGAGTACATTATATCAAGTTCTACTTTTCTGGGATCACTGTGTGAAAAACATGTGAAACGTGTTTTCTAGATGTTTTTCAGCCTTGATATAAATTTTATGTGGAAAAGAACACAGAATTAGAACAGATAATCTAGACTTTCTTCAGATACATCAAAGAAACATCTGCTGATTCAGTTCTGCTTTTCTTGCCTTCCGTTAGACTGTCATTTTTTCTCACACACTGGTCAAATAGGAAGCGATTAACTCTTCTGAAGAGTTTGCAATACTAAATGTCTGTCAGATTGATGCCTTTAATAGAATCTAAAGAGAGTATGTGCTTCTTAGTTAGAAAATTCATACAGGAAATTTTCAGGCATGCTCATAAATCTTGTCACTGTTTGGGAGAAGCTGTTCTTCCTTGAAGAACAATCATGTGATTTGCCATTCCATGCTTGTGGTAATATGATCAGAACAGAGTCTTGTGCTTAACTAATTTTCTCTTATTGTTTGTCGGGGGTAAATTCTTTACAGGTATGTTATTATTGACACACCAGGGCAAATTGAGGTATTCACCTGGTCAGCATCAGGAACCATCATAACCGAGGCCTTGGTAAGTGTTTTCTGCATGACTTGACAGTGATGCTGTGTGAAAGAAGTGGCTGTTGAACAGCATGTATTTCTAAGTAAAATAACTTATTTTTTGTTTCCAGGCTTCCTCTTTTCCTTCAGTTGTTGTTTATGTGATGGACACCTCTCGCAGCACTAACCCTATCACCTTTATGTCCAACATGCTGTATGCCTGCAGGTAAGAAGAGCTGAAAACACAGTCCGTCTGCTTTGATTGCTGTGTCTCTTTGATACTTATTTTGGATGAGAATTGTAGATAGTTTGGGTAGGAAGGGACCTTCAAAGATCATAGTTTCCATTCACATTTCCATGAATGGAGACATTGTTCACTAGATCACGTTGCTCAAAGCCCTGTCCAGCCTGACCTTGAATACTTCCCATGATGGGGCATCCAGAACTTTTCTGGGCAAATTGCTCCAATGTCTCACCACTGTTAGAAAAGTTTTCTTCCTTATGTCCAATCTAAACCTACCCTCTTTCAGTTTAAAACCAGTGTCCCTTGTCCTGTCACTGCAGGCCCTGGTATAAAGTCTCCCTGTCTCTCTTATAAGCCGCCTTTAAATATCGAAAGGCTGCAATGAGGTCTCCCCAAAGCCTTCCCTTCTCCAGGCTGAACAACCCCAACTCTCTCAGCCTTTCTTCACAGCAGAGGGGCTCCAGCCCTCTGATCATTTTTGTGGCCTCCTCTGGCCCTGCTCCGATGGCTCCGTGTCTGTCTCGTGCCGTGGGCCCCACAGCTTGACACGGTGCTCCAGGCAAGGGACCATGAGAGCAGAGTAGAGGGGAAGAACCGCCTCCCTCCACCCGCTGGCCGTGCTTCTGTTGATGCTGTCCAGGATACAGTTGGCTTTCTGGGCTGCAAGCGCACATTGCCACCTCATATCCACTTATTCTGTGGTTTTGCTTATTCGCTGTCTTTGTGGTTTTCCCATTGGATAAGCAAAATAATTTAGGTGCCAGTGGACATCTGGGTCAAGTTGTCATTGGTCAAAACTCCCGCTGACAGCATTAAATGACCTGTGAGCCTTAGTATGATGAAGGCTTGTTACATCAGATATAATACATTGCCTGTTGCTAATAAAATCATTTATCTAAGATGTGTCAAGATAGCCTCATTTAAGCTCCTTCTTGTAAACACATAATATTTTGTTCTATTTTTAAAATATTATTAATACTTTTCAGCAATTCGTCAAGATTTGTTTGAAGCTCAGCATAGCATGGAGTTCTTGATTTGTTGTCTTCCTCCTCGTACATGGAATTGTCTGTTCTCTTTCATGTTAAACCAGGGACTAAATAGCTATGTAAAGATGAACATCTCTCGAGTTGTCATAAGTCATGGTAAATGTTGTTAAAAGTTTTTCAAAAAACCTATCAATGTTAGGCCAAAAGCTGTATCACTGTAATAAAAGTATGCAAAATGTGTCTTATCACTTGCTGCATTTTCTAACAGTAGTGTTGAGCAAAAGGTGCTAGAATCTATACAGTGAAATTAATATGTAAGCTCATGTTTCAAGGTAGGTTTGCTTTATACATGTTGTGAATTATTTGAATTCATTGCTTAGTTCACAAATAATATTTCAGAAACTAAGATTTGACTCAAAAGATTTAGAAAATGCGAAGAGAGGTAAAAACTGGGATCTGAGAGTCGAAGAGTAATCAAAGTCAACTGGGTGGATATAAGGAGATTTTATATCTTACACTCATGCACTTACATCTTGGGGGGGGTATGTTCATCTATGGTAACCAGGAAAATTACATTCTGATTGATGCAGAGGAAAATAATTATCTTTTGAAGTCAAATGTATTCAGTTTTGCACAAGTCTTCTCTGCCTTATGCTTAACTTGTTTTCTCTTCTGGTGAGATTTAAATTAATTTTTAATTTTTTGTGTGTGTGTGTGTGTTTGTCCCCAGTATCCTGTACAAGACAAAGCTACCTTTCATTGTTGTAATGAACAAAGTAAGTTAAAGCTATGGTTTCTATGTCTATGGTTTCTGTGTCCTGGTGGAACGTTATTCTGTTTAGCTTGCTTTGCTGTAGTGTCTTTGTCTCACTACAATGATAAGTTTTTTTAGAAAAGAGGGGCTGAGAGGGAGCTGCAGGCTGAAAACTGAATCTAAAAAGGTCTTTACTGTGGGATACAAATGCACGAGAATAGTCAGGGCTGGGCAGTTACACCCAAACATTCAAGTTAGAGAAGATTCTAACAAATTGAAAAATGTTTTGCACTTTAACCCTAGGTTAGAAGGAAACTTAACTTTGTAACATAAGGGTAGGTTCATTACTGAATCCGCTCTTGTAGTCCCCTGCTTCCTTCAACCAAATATCTTAATCATTAATTATTTCTACTCTGCAGCAGGCCGATGACTCAAAATGGGAATTGTGTAACACCTATCTGTTTTGAGGAAGGAGTCCCACATATAGTAGGAGGCAGAACTTAACAAAAGATGTTTGGTCCTGATCAGTGACAGTAGAAAAATGCCAGTATTTGCCAGAAAGCAGATAGTCACTAGCCTCCACTGTTGTGTAAGGTTCTTGTAGCCTTAAAGGAATGCTTTTGAACTTAACAGCTAGCCTCTTTAAACATAACAACCACACATATTAAAAGAATCCTATTAGATTTTTGGTGTGAATACTCTTCCTTTTCCCCAGAGATACCCTTTGTGTTCAAGGAATTGCTCCCCAGCATAGAAGGCTTTGTGTGTGCGCACACGTATATCCCATACGCTTCCTCCAGAAAATGCATGCTTTGAATGTGAAATCTTACCTTGCACCAGCCAAGTAGGATTAGCATCTGAGGTAGTCCATCTACACACATCTCTCAGTGACCCAAACCATGCATGTCTTTGCTTTCTTACTTAGCAAGTTTTCGCTTTAGCACTGGTTTCTTCCTAACTCTAGACAGCAATTTTAGAATAAGCTGTTAAACTTTTTCCATAGAAAAAGTCATAAGCTAGGAAAATCATTCTCTCTTCAGAAAAAACATTTTTTGAAATAAATGGAACTTCATCAGTACAGGTAAGGAAAGATAGGCCCAAGGCTTAGGATTCATAACTAAACTTCATTTTGGTTGGTTGTTTAGCCTTTAGTAAAAAGTAAAGCCAACAGCACTTGAAGAATTTTTGACTAGCATTTTAAAATTGACTCTTAATAAGAATGGTAGAATCCCAATGAACTGATATATGTGCAGTGATAAACACATAGATTTAAGGAATGTTAAGATTTGCAGAGGGAGAAAAAAAGCAATTTGTAGAGTTGATTTAATTTTATTTATAGAATTTAATCAAGCTAACTCTAAATAGTCAGGCTTTGACCCTAGATGAATTCAGTTTTGTCTCAAATCTCTTTGAGTACTCAAATCTTTGAGTACTGCTAGGCGATACTTCCTTTATCTATTTTCCTCCTTCCTATTGGTGCTGGAAAATGAGATATATCAGGGTTTTAGACACCTCTATATTGTGATAATAGTGGATACACATGTGGAAAGATATGTTTATAAAACTCTTTAATGGTCTGTTTACGTAGTAATCCATATAAAATTATTGAACCAGCTCAGCTGTTAGTGTCCATTGTCTTGCAGTGAGTTTAGATTATAATTTCTTCAGGTCAGAGCACAGTTCACTTTTTATAAAGATCCTGTAGGCTGTTACCCAATGTGGAAGTGGCTCCGTCTCCCCGCTGACCCTCAAGCCAGTCAAGAAAGGATGGGATCTTCAATGAGGACTGTTCATGTCTGGCCTCAGTCATACGATCTAGTATTTGGAACTTAAACTTTCTTGTATGGTAGGCAATTTTTGGATGCCCCTTTCCAGTAAACCATAGAAGCCTTTAGACTTCCAGTTGTTTTCTTGAAGGTGCTTTCTTAAAACTGGAGTAGTGGTTGTTTGTCTTCTCTTTCTGTATTCAAATAGTTAGTTTGATAAAAACAGAACTTGGAAAATATCGGACCAGGGCTAAATATTTTTAAAAGATCAGCATTTTGAAAGTAAGTTGAAAGTGGAATTTTTTTTTTGTCCACTTAACAGCCTAAGGCTAAGGATTCATCATTATTACTTCTGAAAGTTTTCTTTTCTCCTTCCAGACTGACATCATTGACCACAGTTTTGCAGTAGAATGGATGCAGGACTTTGAGACTTTTCAGGATGCCCTGAATCAAGAGACATCCTATGTCAGTAATCTGACTCGTTCTATGAGTTTAGTGTTAGATGAATTTTACAGTTCGCTGAAGGTAAGAATCTTCCTTTTTTTACTACCTCTCATAAAAGCCTGGAGAAGAGAAAGCTCAAGGGGGATATTATTTAATGTATAAATACCTGATGGAAGAAGTACGGAAGACAGAGGCAGACTCTTTTCAGTGGTGTCCAATGAAGGGGCAACAGACACGACGTGAAATGCAGGAAGCTACGTTTAAACAGAAGAGGAAAAAAAGAATTACTGTAATTATACTCATTGTGCTCTGGAACAGATGGTCCCAAGAAACTGTGGAGTCTCCATCCTTGGAGGTACTCAAAACATGCTCAGACAAGATCTTGAGCAACCTGTTCCAGCTAATCCTGCTTTTTGAGGAGGAGAGGCTGTACTAGATGATCTCCAGAGAGATCTTCCAACTGCAGCTATTCTGTCCTCTGTAAAAGGGTTTTGCACTGCCCTTTTGAACTGGAATCTGTTGATGAGCCTTGCATTGAGGATGAGGATTTGCTCATTTAAACATAAAGTAACTTAAGTTGCTTCTTACACTGAGTGGCAGCCTGAATCATTTAATACTGCTTTGTGATTAATCATCAGAAGAAAACTAAGATAGGCTGGTAAGAGGTAACGTTCTGTGATGCAGTATCTCCCATCTGAGATAATTTTCCTTGTTCTGAAAGTGTCAAGTGTAGTTAGGCAATTTACTATGTAGGAAGAAGGGAAGGAGTCTCAAAAACAAACAAACACACACATACCCTGTCTATTTGCTGACACAAGAAAAAGTGGGTTTTTTCCACTTACCAGGTTTTGAGAGGACAAATTCATTCAGTTTCTACTGTATGTTGGAGGATGTTAATGATCCCATAGTCTGTGCTAAAAGGGTTCAGCTAATTGTCTTTTTACTGGCTTTTACTTAAGAAAAAGCAAGCAAATGGCTTTATGGATATTCCAAGAAAGGCAATAAAAAGAAATGATTCCATTCATATAGATAGTGATAATTTAGCCAAACCAAAAATACCCCCCTTTTTTTTTTAAGTTGTGGTTTGGGGTTTTTTAAAAATACTGCTTAGTCTTTCCAGCTTTGATCATCCATCAGTTACCTAAAAACTTGGCTCAGTTACTCTTCAGTTCTGGTATATGATTTTCTTTTATAGGTGGTTGGTGTTTCTGCTGTGCTTGGCACAGGCCTGGATGATTTTTTTGTTCAGCTTTCTAACGCTGTAGATGAATATGAGAGGTAAGGTGATACCCTTTGGTCCCTGACTCGGTGAATACTTGCTGGAGTTAATGGCTCATGAACCCACTTTTTTTATTTGAGGGACTGCTTGCTTTTCACAGCCAAGGTAGTCAAGGGTTTCTAGTAAACTCAAGTGCAAGAGTCAGCATTAAAAGCAGCGGTCAAAAGAAACTATTCAGTGGTGAATTTTTGTGCTAGCTGTACAGTGAAAAAGTAAAAGCTGACTGCCAGCAAATCTGTGATGTCACTTTTTTTCCTTTGATTCCATACAATGGTCAAGGCTTCAGTTGTCCTCAGGAAGCTAGCAGATCAGTTTGGCAGACTGTATAGATAAGCAAGTTGAAATTCAGTAATTCTTTGAGAATTTGTTCCTTCCTGGATTCCTTCCAATGAAATACTGCCAGGCTGCTCTATAACATTAGAAAGCAAATCCAGTAACTTAGATTATTTGCCAGTATCTAAACCAGACCACAGATTATTGTTAGAGATAAATATATTGTGCTGAATTGGACATAGAGAGAAGCTGCCACAGCTTCATGCTCCCAGGTCTGATTAGTCTGGCCTGGGCACGCCCCCAACTATGCTGCTGCCTAGTCGCTGGTCGCAGCCTACATGCAGAGAGACCCCTTTTTTCCCTTAGCCCTTTATTTCCCACAATTGTTCCTTCCAGGTCTCCTTAATTTAATCCCTCTATTTTCCCACCTTTGGTCTTCCCCAAAACATCCCATAATAAATCCTGTGCTATCCCCATATGCTCTTTCGCTGCATCCCACCCCTGGGCAGCCACCCTTCTGTACTCACAAGGTGATCCAGAGAGCTCCCAATGAGGCAGATGATGGGTTTCACACCTGGATTGTGGGGCTCATGGTTTTCCTGGAATACCCCTGGGAGGAGCCGGGATAGGTTATCCCTTCCTTGGGTCCTACACTTGGATTTCCTGCCTGTCGCCATGCCTCTATGCTTCTCTAGGCTTGTAGAAATGGGTCTTTGATGGTTTGATGGTTCTGTGAGGTGCCTGTGAGTATCTGGACAGGGTATCTGGACAGGGACAGTGCTTCCCCTGCCCCACAAATGTCTCAACATTCTTTTAGGTGCTGAGGAGTTTCACCACATAATCTAAAAATTATTCTGGCATACATTGCCTACATAATCAAACCCCAGTTAAGGGTTTCGTTTAAGCTGCCAATGTGCGCTTGCAGCCCAGAAAGCCAACTGTATCCTGGACAGCATCAACAGAAGCACGGCCAGCGGGTGGAGGGAGGCGGTTCTTCCCCTCTACTCTGCTCTCATGGTCCCTTGCCTGGAGCACCGTGTCAAGCTGTGGGGCCCACGGCACGAGACAGACACGGAGCCATCGGAGCAGGGCCAGAGGAGGCCACAAAAATGATCAGAGGGCTGGAGCCCCTCTGCTGTGAAGAAAGGCTGAGAGAGTTGGGGTTGTTCAGCCTGGAGAAGGGAAGGCTTTGGGGAGACCTCATTGCAGCCTTTCGATATTTAAAGGCGGCTTATAAGAGAGACAGGGAGACTTTATACCAGGGCCTGCAGTGACAGGACAAGGGACACTGGTTTTAAACTGAAAGAGGGTAGGTTTAGATTGGACATAAGGAAGAAAACTTTTCTAACAGTGGTGAGACATTGGAGCAATTTGCCCAGAAAAGTTCTAGATGCCCCATCATGGGAATTGTTCAAGGTCAGGTTGGATGGGACTCTGAGCAACACGATCTAGTGAAAAATGTCCCTGCCTGTGACAAAGGAGATTAGACCAGATGATCTTTGAAGGTCCCTTCCAACCCAAACCATTCCATGACTCTAAGAGGAGCATGTCCACATCCACTTTATCCTTACTTCATAAAAGAAAATTTCAAAGGTCCCATAGTGCTACTGCAGTTTGGAAGTCTGTGAACAGTCTTTCTATATGAGATCCTGTTTAACTGTCTTAGGAGGCAAAGTACTGGCAGAGAAAGTCATGACTGTGATAAGAGGAGAGTGATAAATCTGCTGATTAGGTATAGCAGTGAAATGACTGCCTCAGTCGAGCTGGTTTTCTTATCCAACAAGACAGTGTGAGAAAGATTTGCTTATTTTGCATCCGATGGTTTCAGAATCTGAATCTGGGTAAAAAGTACTGTTAGTCTTCTTGAAACGTCTCTCAAACATGTAAGCCTACAGAAAACGTTTGTTGGGGTGGGAACAAACCTCCAAGATGATCCTTACTTAATGTTCAGCCTGATGCACTCTCTTCATTTATTTTTTCAGAGAATATCGCCCAGAATATGAGCGCCTGAGAAAAACACTGGTAAGTATTTTTAACTATTGTATACCTGGGCAGTGTGTCTTGGGGTCACTTTTATGCACACAATTGCCTCTATGTTGGGAGGGTCTGACATTTCATTTACTAACCGTACTCATTGTGGAAAAGCTGCTGTCTCACCATCTGCCCTATTTTCATAATTTTGGTGGGCACATCTTCACAAAAATAAGGATATTTTGTAAAACAGATTTGCATCAGGTTTTTAGTGCTAATAATTTATTTGGGCAAATTGTGAGAAAATGATTGGGAAAGATTTTTATATCTTCCATTCAGAAGAGTAGAGGTTTTTTTATAAAACAATTTTCCAAAGTGATTTTTTGAGAATATCCCTGTATCTTTCCACACCAGTGAAGTGTACTGTTTTGACTTAAACAATGAATAACGAAGACTGAATTGCATTACTAACTGAGTAGCTCTGCTCACCTTGAGTTCTTGCTGTCCAGAGGACAGTTCTCTTCAGCCCCAACTTCACTGAGTTTGGCTTCCTGATGCCACTGAAAATGTTCTTGAAGTCTGTCATGCTGCAGCATGAGGTTGCTATGCACGTTTATCCAAAAGTTCTGTGTAACCTTAGTTAGAATCAGTTGTAATGTAAGACCTGCTTATTGACTTCTGCTTCCTGGATGAAGGACAGACTGCTTGTTTTGTGTGAAATTACTCTTCTGATGTTTTACATGTATTCAGAATCCACATGTAACTTTGTACCTACAGGAGAAAGCTCAAAATAAGCAAAAGAGGGAGCAGCTGGAACACTTGTGGAAGGACATGGGCAGCGTGTGCATGCAGGGCAACACACTTGCAGGTACGTTATTAGGAAGATATAAGTTTATGACAGAATTTGTCTGAAGAGTCTGCCTTGAGAAGTCATATATTCATAGCTTTTCTGTCTTCAGAGCAAAAGCGTGAAAGCAGCTTCATGCTAGTGGGGTGGGGCTTTAGTTCCTGTAGGATGGGTCAGACTTAGCTCTCCTACGTGTCAGTCACAGAAACCTGAAGAAACCCTGCTTTGTAGACAAAGCAGTGGATGGACTAGAAGCAGTGAAATACTTCAGAAAAGGTGAAACAGTCAAATTAGAATATGAGAAAACTCTGTGGTTGGTTGAACTGTTGCTTTCTATGAGGTTGAGTATGGTGGTGATGCGGTCTGTCCTGTATCTTTGGAATCCACATCTTTGGTATTAGTTGCTGTGTTTATGTGCAAATAGAAATGGTCAGGACATGAGCTAAGTTCCTTGTTAGCATGCTGTTTTATGTATAGCCATTTCTGTTCCCTTCAAGGGTCTGATGATGCTTCTGCAATGGGTCCCTCTGAGCTGATCCTAACACGAGGAACTCTTGATGAGGAAGAAGAGAGGGAGAGTGATACTGATGACATTGACCATGAAGGTAAGGGAATGAGGGATCTGATCTGGTCTAAAAGCTGCCTGTCTAGTCAGGAAATACCTTCTGTATTTTATTAATTAGATTGATTGTAATGTATTTCCTTTGCCTTGTAATGAAGTTGAAGATCAAATAGACTTTATGTGTTGCTCTGACTAGCCTGACTCTAGCTTTCTTCAGGAACGCAAGTAGAATGAATGCCACAGAAGTGCTAAACTGTGGATTTCCACCCCCTGCAGTTACTGAGGAGAGTCATGAAGAACCAGCCTTCAGAAACTTTATGCAAGAGGCACGGATGAAATACCAAAGAAGAAACAACCCAAATGAACAAGACCTTCAGAAATAAAGGGTTTGGAGTCCCTTGTAGTGGAGTGAAAAGTAAAGTAACAGCATAAAGAAACTTGTGAGGAACCATTCATGAAGTCTTCTATCTGTGAACCGAAGGTCTGGACGTTTGGCCATCTGCCACAGTGATTTCCTGATGATGAAGGAATCAGATAGCACTTTCTTTAGATGTAGCTGTTGAGAGCTTAGATTTTGAGCACTGACAGCATTACCCTCTAGAGGAGTTACTGGTCTCCAAAAGTGCTTTCTGTTCACCTTGTGCAGACGGGTGCCTGCTGCAGCCCGGACCCAAGTGAAATTTCTGCTACATGAAACTTCATCAGTCTAGTGTTATAAAATATAAACTCAGTGGCTATTTATATAAGCCTGTCCACATCTAGAGTTTATTATTTATGAAAACCGACATTCCTCAGAATACACATACTAGTTTCACAAAGTTAGTTAAGCCACCCTGAGTTCTCTCCTTTCGACAAAAAAAGCTTTAAGTATTTTGGGGAGGAAGTGAAATTGCTCCAAATTCTTTAATGAGAGAAAGTGCACAGCATTTACAATTATTTTTACTGCTGTGCAAGAAACACAATTGAATATTTCTTATAAGTATATTTGATCCAATATACTGTTTTCCATACTGTACACAATTGCAAGAGACATGATGTCAGTCCAACAAAATGCTGTCTGAGAAATGTGACAGTATATGACATGTAATAATTAGAAAGTCCCAGAAAGTTCGCAGAAAATACTTTCTGAAGTGAAAAAGTTGCTGAGATTTTCCAAAAGCAATGTTTGATTTCTTTAGTGAAGTTAGGAATACTCACAGGCAGTTTCCAGCAGTGGCAGAAAAGTTGCTGTGGCAGTTATTTGTCTGATAACATATTGAATTTAATCCTGAATAGCTTCCTGAGATTCTTCTCGTGGTGTGCTGCAAAAATAGGAAAACTCTGTTAAGAAAGCTTCCACTATACTGAGTTTTCTTTAAATACATTTCTCCCCATTAAGCTCTATTGGTCTGTTTGCTATATGATTTTTTTGTAGTAGTGACACTCTTTTACGCCCTTGGTAGACAAGCTTAAAAAAGTTAAGTGATAGTTGGCTTCTGTTTATTGATGTTTGTGAACTTCACAGTATTTGCAAGGGGTGTTATATTTATTCTCAGTCTGGAATGAATGAAGAGAACAGTAGTTCTTTAGGGCATGTACCCGATACAGGATTTTATATACTTTGTTGGAAATTAAATTAATCAAGTTCTGACCTGATGCTTTAAAAAACAAAACAAAACCAAGAAAAACAAAAAGCCCCCCCACCTGAACATTATGTATGCTGCAACCATATAACAACTGTTTTACAAACGAACAGAAGGAACACCAGTAAGAAATCTTTCCTCTGCCTCTGCCAGCTCAACAATGAGGATAAATGACCTTGTCCTATTAAGCGTTGAACAAATGCTAACTGTTGTGTAGCAAATGTGTGTGGCTGTTCTAAGGCAGCAAAGAGCAGACATGAGTGTAAAATAGTGGCATCCAGGGAGAGCTGAAGTGCAGATGGGTAAGTTAATGCCCATTCCTCAGAGGAGAGTAGGGACATGGAGCCAGGCAATGTAAATATTCCGAATGCTTGCTGTTGGAAACTGATGTATGTTTTTCTTCTGGGCTTTTAAAAATCAAGTTAGCCAAATAACCCAAACAATTTTCTTGTAGTTATTCAGGCAGGAAGCCAGCTGTTAAATTTGTCTATATTAACTACCTGAGAATTCAGAAGAATAAATATTCTATGTACTTTTCATTCTCTTGCAGTACAAACTCTGTTAAAAAATAATTCCCTGTAAGCGTTAAGTTAGCCTTACTTTTGTCTATAGATCAACAATTTCTATTTGAAAAACTGCCTCATTATAGGACAATTAATTTAGCAGCTCAGAGCAAATCAATGATAATTGTAACCTTCGGACAATAGTGTCTGATTACATGTAATTATTTTTTTGTGTAAAGATGCACAGCCTTCTGCTGATTAAGGAGAGCAGAAAAAAGTGACTGTATTTTGACTAGACTATTTTTAAAACCTTTTTGTTCACTGCAGCTTCCTTCCCTGTACAAAAGCTGTTACTTCTGTCACCTTTTGACTTCATAAAATTCTTTCCCAAATAAAGAGGGTAGAGGTATTTATTTGGAGGGTAAATATGGCGCTCAAGCTGTTTATTTTTGTATGCTCCATACTCAGCTTAAGGACAGGATGTGTTTGCACCTCCCTTTTGTGTCTAGGAGTGGAGGCGGGGGTGAGAGGGGAAGAAGTCCCAGAGTCCGAGTTTGGCATTGAGAAGTTGTTGCAGTATTTTAGTCTTAACAGAATTGATAAAAAGAGGGTGGCTGATCCCATGAAAGGAAACTTGTTACTCTTGCCTGCTTCATCACAGGTCATAACTGCAGCTACTTGCTTCATTTCTGTCTCACAGGGCAGCTCTGCGGCCTCCATGGAAAGCCGGAGTCAGAATTTTATAAGCTACAGAATACAGACACATCAGAAATCCTCTTTCTAATATAAGAAATAGCAGAATATAGAACAGGTAAACTGCAGATGCAATAGTTCTTAATTCTCAAAGATTTATTAGGGGAACAGGAAAGTGGTTGAAAAGAGTTTGTAAAACAATACCTGTTAAGTTAAAGATAAGCTTCTTGGTTTAGGTATGGATAATTTCTACAAACAAACACCTGTTTTGCTTCTCAGGTGGAGGGGCTGTAAGTTAAATAGTTAAACCTCTTTTTTTTTTTTTTTTTTTCTTCCCATGGAAGATTGCTCCTTCTGCTTGCTTGATGCACTTAGGGCTATATCACAGTAGTGAGAATTTGCCAACTTGTTCCATTAGCAGAAGTATCGGAGTGCCCACCAATCTGCTGGTGTCAGTTCTCCTCCATATCAGTGGGGAGCATTCCTGGACACAACTTAACAGTGTGGGAAACGAACTAAGTTTTGCTTCAGCTAATTGATATATCATTGTTAGTGTGATAGTACTAACAAAGAAGCCTTAGTGATAGCATAAGTCTAACAAATCGTATCTAACTAATCCTCACAGATGTTCTTGGTCCGTTGAAATGTCCTTGTTCCCAGAGTATTATCTAGGTGAACAGAAAGACTGGAACGCGTCCTTCAACACAGGGACCCAGAAGATAGAAAAGTATCATTAAGACTAAAAGAACAAGGCTTGGACAGTAAATCTGCCAGGTGGACAGTGAAGGCTGCCAAGTAGTGCAGCTCACATGGCGGGGGGGGGAGGGGGCAGCTGATGAAGAGGAGGATGCAACCGCCTGATGAAGAAAACGACCACCAGAGTGCTTGTAATGACTAACACTGGACAGTAGATGACACCAGAGACTGTGAAATAATGTGTAATCAAAGGCGTGTTTAAGCTAATGATTTCGTAGGGCACGTGTGTATGTGCCTTATGCGGTAGAAAAGGTGTAGACTAAACCTGCGATAGGCTGGGCGGTCGGGAAGATCGTGAGCTCCACCTTCTCAGCCAATGAGAAGGGAGACAGAAACTCAGGTGGCCGGGATAAGGGTATAAAATATCTGAAAGCTAAAAGATCATCGTGCATCTATTTTTGGTGCACCTGATTCAGAGCTGTTTTGTATTAATAAATTATTATTTTTTTAACCTTTGCTTCGGTGACTTTGTCCTCTTTAAATTCTAAGATGTGAGTCGGTGTTTCTCACACAGAGGTGGTGAAATGCTCTCAAGAAGATTCTGTAGATGAACTTCACTTTGCAGGGGGAGGAAGGGGAGAAGAAAGGGGAGGAGAAGAGTACTAATAATACTCTGTGAGCCTGTCAGAGTGGAAGGAGTGAGACTCAAAGGGCAGGGTGAGAGTGTTGTGGTTGCGGAGCCGTAAATGTCTCCTTTTAGGCATCCCGGTTGGGCCGCGCGTCTTCGAATTGGTTACTGCGCATGCATGGAGCCGCCGGGCTGCCTGTAATTGCCATGGCAACCGCGCGGCTCTGGATTGATTACTGCACATGCTAGGACGCCATCATGGTTGCTAGGGCGCCATCTTGGTTGCTAGGGTGGCCATCTTGGTCGCTCGGACGCCATCTTGGTTGTTAGGGCGGCCATCTTGGTTGCTAGGACGCCATCTTGGTTGCTAGGGCAGCCATCTTGTTTCCTAGGACGCCATCTTGGTTGCTAGGACGCCCTCTTGGTTACTAGAACGCCATCTTGTTTCCTAGGACGCCATCTTGGTTACTAGGGCGCCATCTTGGTTGCTAGGATGCCATCATGGGTGCTAGCACACCATCTTGGTTGCTAGGATGCCATCATGGTTGCTAGCACACCATCGTGGTTGCTAGGACGCCATCTTGGTGGCTTGGGCGCCATCTTGGTTGCTAGGACGCCATCTTGGTTACTAGCACACCATGTTGGTTGCTAGGACGCCATCTTGGTGGCTTGGGCGCCATCTTGGTTGCTAGGACGCCATCTTGGTTACTAGGGCGCCATCTTGGTTGCTAGGACGCCATCATGGTTGCTAGCACGCCATCTTGGTTGCTAGGGCGGCCATCTTGGTTGCTAGGACGCCATCTTGGTTGCTACAAAGCCATCTTGGTTGCTAGGACGCCATCTTGGTTGCTAGGACGCCATCTTGGTTGCTAGGGCGGCCATCTTGGTTGCTAGGA